CGGTGATGATCCCTAAGGATAGCTCCAACATAAGGTCGTCGTCGAGTCCTACTTCTCTTAGACGACGTCTTACGGTGTTGGCACTTACTGGTCCTTTTCTTTCGACGACTGCCGCACATGCTTGAGTCGCTGGGCAGAATCTGTCACGCAGATGAGTGACCCGGATGTAGCGGTCTTGAGCCTGGGTTGTAACGCGTTGTGGACCAGGACGTTGACGGTCACGCGTTGATCCAGTAACTCGAATACGTTCCACCAACCTTACAGTAGTGGACTGATGACAATTGAGGTGTCTGGCAATAATAGCACGCGTAGACATGCCAGCCCTGGACATTCCCATGGCTTCATTCCGTTGATTTTCAGTAAGTCTCGGCATCTCTAGCTCGATTCCTTCACACGTCCAACAACAAATTACGACAAATTCACGTTTCACAGTTCATGTACAGCACATTAAGTTGAAAACATGCTTTTAAAGGGCTCACACACAATGCTGCAGGTGAATATTGGGTTTTTCATGTGCATCTCATGCAATTTTTTTTTGTGCACACGGGCCGAATTTTTTTGCGTTTGGGAGCATTGTGTGAAACAATAGTTCATAGTATTGCATAATATTATACATACAAAACCAACTAGTAATAAAATATTTGGGAAAAAAAGTGATGCGTTTTCCATGGCGCTCAGTAATATAACGGTATCTACTTAAAATGATCATTTGAATACTTAAAAGAGATTGAATTGATTTCATTATTCTTTTATTATTATTTCTTTTTTTTATACCGGAATAGTATTATTAAATTTACATTAGCACTATTAGATGTCGATCTACGGCTGTTTTTATTAATAATTTGTTTAGTGAAGCCGAATGATAAAAATTGCGTTAAGTCTACGTCGATCGAGATTTTGCCGTGGGTAACAAAACTCCGTCAAATCAAATAGCCCAGTGACGTGTAGAATAGATCAAATGGCTTGCTATGTGTCGCAAATTATTCGTTTAACGGCAATGTATATGAGTAATATGAAAAAACTAATGATGAGAGATTTAATTTAGTTAGATCTACTTGCGCAACACATCAACGCAAATGTCTAGCCTAGACAAGTGCAGATCACGTCGGTTCTAAATTCTACGTCGCTTGGCCTAGACTCGTGTATTCTGAGCGGACTGACACAATCATGCAGCTGGTCCAGCTAGTTTTAAAAGTTAAAGCAAGAATTTCATATTTTTTAAGAAAGTCAAAACATAATTATTTCTATATCTTTTGCTCAATAGGCTGTCAACTCAATATTATAGGATCATAGGTATCATTATGGCACTTATAAAATCATTCACACCGGAAATAATAACACAATTACCACCTTTGTTGTTCTACCCCCCCCCCCCCCCCATGGAAAAACTATCTGCCAACATTTGAATTAGAAGTTGAAAATGATATTTTGGCCAATTTCTCAACTGGCAATAGTGAATTATAGGAATAATAGGATTATTCTGTAACAAGGTAGGACTGTTTATAGATACCATCTATTTTAAAGCTTTACTTTAATACATTTTAAAAATATAACTTAAAAATATGAAATTCACTCGGCACAGCTGCAGTCTGAGTGTGTTTTGAAATGAACGTCGCCACTTACATCGCGGTAGTCAACAAAGTCCAAACCTACATTGCCGGTAATCAAATTCGAGGGGCTTTCATATTCAACTTAATAATAATAGTCTCTGTTACTACATGATGTATGTATAGGTGCGCGTGTTTTACATACATGTAAATATAGTTGGTGTTTTTGTTGTTTTATAGCCATTGATAATGCTGTTGCGTAGGTAGCCTAATGTTTTGTTTGTATTTGTATGCTGTCTCTAATAGCCTAATGGGGTGTTAAGATACAATATAATTTTATCTGATCTTATATTAGCCTTAGAAGAAGCAATTGACGATTTTTATATCCCTTCCACATACCCGGTTGAGAGTTAAAATAATAGAACTTACCTTCGGCACGAACCAAAAAACCAATATGGCGTCCCAGAAGCATCTTTCGCGGCAACATTTAGAGTCACGTTATCAGTTTCCGCGGGAAAAAAAACCGCTAGTGTTACCAGATAATTTACTGAAGAATTAACCGGAATATTTGTCAGCTTCTAGTTGTTTTACAATAAGCCTTAAATAAAATGTATTATAGTTTGTATTGTGTTATTAAATCTCGATCTACGTCGTTAACCAATACAACTGTACCCAAGATCATACGTCAATTTCTATAGATAAGCGCATTGCAATTCCTGTTTTATGCACTGAATTTGTGTAGCAAACGCTGCACACTACACAATATGCATTAATCACCATTTTCTGTGTTTTGTGTTATTATTTCAATTGATAAACACCGGATGTAAAAACAGCGACATTTAGGTGCGGGAGAGGCATCTCGTTTAAAGTTCATAATACATTTTTATAATACTTGACGGACGCAAACGCCTTTTCTTGCTTTCCCAACCCGTGTGCTCAGCAACATGAAAGCAAGCCAGTATTGCCTATTTAGTACACCAATAACTTTAATGCATTAAAGGAAATTATGATTTCCGAAAAATTATAAAACAAATAACTGACCGATGTCGCACACCGCCGAGTGGGACCCGACGAAATGTTTCAATCCGCGATCAATGCAGTACAAATTCGCCGTGTTCAATGACAAGAAAGTGAAAATGTTTTATTATACTTAAAAATCATCGAATTTGGGGATCTTTTTTTGACTGACAAGAAAGCAAAATATTTTCTTCCAAATAACATTCTGAAAGTTCCGCTTTCACTTTCTCTCGGGATTTTGAATGTGACTTTTTACCTAAATGGCTGCCGGGAACAGGGAATGTCAGGCAATGTCATGACCTTGACTCAGGTTACAACCCCAAAATTGACCTTGCGGGTGCGGGTCACGACTTTGACCTTGAGATTTATTCGTGATATCTGGGTTGTTCATGAAGTTTTGGGACTTTTTCGATCCCAAGGTCAAGGGTCAGGTCAAAGGTCAAGGCCCCATTCGAAAGGTCAATGAGTTGCCTATCCATGGTCATGACCTTTGATTTGCCGCGCAGACCAGGGGCCCCACCATGTGCCCGGGAGCATCGAACTCAGTAGATATTTTGGTGACCTTGACCCTTTCTGATGACCTTGACCTACCGGGGTCATGTGGACCAAGATGACATTTTGGAAGGTCAAGGTCCAGTGGTCCTGACTTTATTAGATGGGCCCCTAGGGTTCAAAAACCAAAATACTTCCGGGGCCCCTAGCGGGTCAAGGTCACGACTTTTGGTTGGCGATTTTAAAAAATGAAGAACACATGTTGGGTCAGTCTATCGGGTCACCAAACCCCGGGGCGATCGGATGACATTTTTGGGGCAAATTTCCCTAGAAAGTGAAATAGCCGAGCATTACAGCGGTGTGGTCTAAGGGCAGATAACTCGCCCATCCCAAATCGGATCCGACGACCTTGAGGTCGTGGCTATTTAAACTAAATTGACCCCTGGGAGTCTCGTGGTGACCTTGGTTTGACAATCAGAGGTCAAGGTTCGAACTGCTATATATGACGTTTCGATAACGTTATGACAATGTTGTGACAACGTTTTAACAACGTTGTGACAACAACCTGTATATGAAGTTTTGATAACGTTGTGACAACGTTGTGACAACAAACTGTATATGACGTTTTGATAACGTTTTGAAGACGTTGTGACAATGTTGTGACCACGTTGTAACAACGCCGTGACAACAACCTGTATATGACGTTTTGATAACGTTGTGACAACGTTGTGACAACAACCTGTATATGACGTTTTGATAACGTTTAAAAAACGTTGTGACAACGTTGTGACCACGTTGTAACAACGCCGTGACAACAACCTGTATATGACGTTTTGATAACGTTGTGGCAACGTTGTGACAACAACCTGTATATGACGTTTTGATAACGTTTTGAAGACGTTGTGACAACGTTGTGACCACGTTGTAACAAAGCCGTGACAACAACCTGTATATGACGTTTTGATAACGTTGTGACAACAACCTGTATATGACGTTTGAATAACGTTTTGATGACGTTGTGACAACGTTGTGACAACAACCTGTATATGACGTTTTGATAACGTTTTGAAGACGTTGTTACAACGTTGTGACAACGTTGTAACAACGTTGTAACAACGCCGTGACGACAACCTGTATATGACGTTTTGATAACGTTGTGACAACGTTGTGACAACAACCTGTATATGACGTTAGAATAACGTCTTGATGACGTTGTGACAATGTTGTGACAACGTTGTGACAACAACCTGTATATGACGTTTTGATAACGTTTTGATGACGTTGTGACAACGTTGTGTCAACAACCTGTATATGACGTAAATACAACGTCGAATATTGGTCGAAAACACGTTGTACAACGTCACGACCAATATTGACGTTGTCACAATGTTGTAACAACGTTGCGTGCCCGCTGGGATTATGCAAGAGCTAAATCTGCCCATTGCAGGTCTTTCTTTAGGCCTGAAATGTTTTCTAAAGTATTAATTAGACATTAATTAACTGATCCAGGCCTTAATCAACTCTCGATGGCATCAGATTTCTCCGATATTAAATAGATTAGAATGGTTCAGCGATACTTTGATTTAATCAAATATGGAGGACCGAGACTTAGCTTCGATCGACCAGTACGGTGGTTGAAATTATTGCACACGTCTGTCAAACCCTCAATGGCTAATATCTTCGCTTGCAATAGAGTAATTTGAATGAAATTTTCAAATTATTCATTTTACATCATCTACTTTCGAACTAGTATAGCAAGAATGGCAAGTTCTTTATCTAAATCTTACATAATGTATCTTTAAAGAAATATTTCTATAATTTTATTCTTTCTAGGTCTACAAGAAATATACTTTTAGATAAAAATACATTTAGGTTGCACTAAATGACCTAATCAACCCTATGGGGAACGTATCTTTAAAACATCTCAAAATTGCATAAACTTACATTATGTAATAGACTAAGCCCCACTATGGAAGTTAATATCCCGTGACTTTTAAATGACGAGTGTTTTATGCCAGTCGAGTGATTTTACAATAGCCGGACGGGTACCAATCTAATATAATTTATACCTATAAACAAAACAAACGAATAAAACAGTTTGAGTTATTTTTGTGATTAATACAGTTGTATTTGTCTATAACCCATAAAATCAAACTAATTTGTATAACACAAATAATTAAACACAGTACCTATTCCTTGTAGTCCGTCCACATAAATATCTGAAAACATAAATTATATAATTATTAGGTATAGGTTAACGGTGTTTAAATATATTTTGAGCCTACATTTGTTCAAAATAGGGTGCTTTTTTTGTAATTTCATTCAAAAACTCAAAACGTTTACACCCATGGAACCCTCTGGTATGGGTCAACTTTATTTCTTATTATGCTACCAATCTTTCAAATGTGTTCTGCGTTAAACATCTAAATCTGCAATTTGCACAATAATGTACACAAGAAAACGTTGCGTTTGACGGGGGCTGGTTGAAAGTTCATTTTAATGAAGTTTTGTGTCTAATTGTTTGTTGTTTGTTTTTTTTTTTGGGGGGGGGGGGTAAATAAAAAAAAAGATTAACAAGACAAACTCACCAGTAAGAAGAATAAACACAATCATTAAATCATATCTATCCATCTTGAAGAAAAAGTAAGTACGTATTTACTATACCTGTAAATAACATCTATGAAAATCAACACGGTTGGATCTCACCTGAAATATTTTACATGACCTCAAAGACTACTAGTTGCTCTCGTTCATCAAGACACAATACTACTTGAAGTTGAAGTCAAGTGCTTGAATTTGAGTTTGAATGTCAAAGGGATAAGAACGGTTCACGATGATCTTAACATTTTATTAAATATTTCCTGACATATTCATTGGTGCACCTAATCAAATGTTAATGCATGTTCTGGAAAAGTGCCGACTTCTTATTTTCATTCATTATATGGGAATAATTCATTTGTAAATGGCCCAACTTTACGCATTGAGTAGGCCCTACTGTGACCTATCAGGTACATTAACTTAAATTATTTTTTTTATTATCACGGATAAAGTGCAGAGAAATTTCAAGAGCATTACATTTAATTGCCCTATTATATTTTGCCACCCCCATCACTCCATCCCCGATCCCTACGCACCCCAACCCAGATAAAGAACATCACTGAGTGAAAGCGAAATACGTTACATAGATAAATGTTAAGTACAACAATAGGTAATTGATAATCGAAATTCGTCGAAAGAATTCATTGTACTGAGCCCTATGGCCATCGGATTAACATCGCACTGGATATCCAAGTCGGGTGCTCTCTAAGTAAACAACTATAGTTTTACGATATGTTTCTAGGGTAACTTGATATGCCTGCTCACAGGTCTATAAATGATTCCAGAAGATTTGAAGAATATAGAAGAACTGTTTTCTGAATTTTAGAGGTGTGTGGGAGACATTATTGGCAACTGTTCAACTTCATTTTCTATCCTGGGGATCACGGTGGCTAAGTGGGTAAGACGCTGGCTCGCTAGCCTGGAGGTCGGGTGTTCGATCCCTGCATTGGCCGAGACAGTTCATGCAGGACGGAGGGCCTGGCAAGGACAGCTGTCAAGTCGTTCGGATGGGACGAAAAACCGAGGTCCCGTGTACACATTAGCACACTGTATTGCGTATGCCCGTCTTCAGTAGCCCAGTTCGGAGCAGAACAGTAGGACTTTAAAACCCCATTTCATTTCATTTTATTTATTTCCAATTTGCGTTTATCAAACCATATAACTTTCTGGATTATAAATCCTGATTGTACGAAAAATCACTTTTTTAGCGTGTATCACCGTTATACCACAATTATGGTTGAGTCTGAAAATCGACCTGAAACTTCTCGTCAAATGGCCGCTCCCCTTTACGCAAATAGTGTAAAAGTATGTAATACAAAGGTTGTAACAATTTTTATCCGATTTGGATGGAACTCACAACGAGTTTTTAAGTATCACTAGTTCTTGGGTCAGTTCAAGTTTGTCCCAGAGGCGATAATTTTTGTCCGATTCATGACATGAAAACTAAACTATGTGCTGAGGATCAATAGTTCTTGGATTAGTTTCACTTTGGTACGCATGAAATCTTACATTCTAGAGCTTTAGCCCTTGCTATAGAATATTAGAAAAACTCTATCCCGTTGTGTTTTAATTAGCCAATTATGTCCATAGATACAACGGAAATGAGATGGAATAAAATAATCGACTGCTCAGTAAAGTTAACTAATTATAGCGACCCTCGCAACTGGGGGGGGGGGGGGTCTTAATGTCTTAATGCAGGATTAGTATAGTGAATAGCAGGGGTTTTTTTTCTGAAAGTCCACGTTCTACTTCTAGATGTCTCACTTCAATAATAAATTCAGGTCTCTTTCAGTTACGTAACTGTATCTAACTGAATAGTTACTTGCGTGCAATAAACTGGAGAAAAGAGTACGTGTGCCCGAATTATTGGGGTGGGTAAATTCCCCCCCCCCTCCGCAGGGCCTGAAATGTATTTCTTTAGGCCTGAAATGTTATCTAAATTGTTAATTAGACATTAATTAACTTATCCAGGCCATATTAAACTCTCGATGTCATCGCTATCATGCGATATTTAGTGGATTGGAATTCATTTTTAAAAAAAATAATTAAACGTAAAATTGGATAATCGAGACTGTTTTTTTTTTATCAGACCAACTTAAGTTATGATGATCGAGGCTAGCCTAAAATCCTAAAGCTAATATCTCGCTTCAGAGTGGGGCAATTTGACTGGAATTTTCAGCATATTCTATTTACGTTATTTATTTATTTTTTTTAATATTATAGATTTTTTATATATATATTATAGTTTTATCTATTTTTTTAAACTATTTTTAACTATTATAGCGAGAACTGTCAACTCATTATCTAATCTCCCATAATGCCCCGTTAATATTTCTCACAAATAACGTTGCAATTGAAACCAACAATAGAAGTATAATTATTATTCAACATGATATTGTGTGAGATATCTGGACTTAGTTCGCGGGATGGTGTGGGCAAGCATTTTTTATTAGCTGCTGCTTTTTTTTTTCTTTTTATTTAACGATTTCAGTGTATTCCTTGACCCCAGAGACATACGTTTAGACACCAAAATTATCATCCTAGACTAAATACTATGGAAGTTAAAGGGATTAGAAGAAATAACGGTCGTCTTGGACGCCATCTTGAATTTCTCAAAAGGCTCATGGTTTTGGGTGGTTTTTTTTTTGTTTTTTTTTTGCTTTTAGAGACAGCGATATTCCAGTGAGGCTGGGGTGATTTTATGCCACATGATGCGGTAAGCCCAATTCCAGGGCTTTCTCCAGGTTTTTATTCAGGTTTTTATAGTTTTTGTCTCTATACATAGTTTGGTTTGGTGAAATAATGGCCCGAAACCGCCGCTCGAGTTAAAGGGCCATATTGTCTGGCATTTTGGATTTTACTATCATCTAATAACCCTATAACATAATGAATGATTTCAGTAAATTCCTAGACCCCAGAAACATACGTTTAGATACCAAAATTATCATCCTAGACTAAATACTATGGAGTTATAGGGGATTATTTGAATTGGCGGCCGTCTTGGACGCCATCTTGAATTTCTCAAAACGCTCATCATGATCGAGGTTCATCCGGTAGATTCTGAAAGAGGACACCCTAGTCTACTAAAATCAATCATAAAAAAAACTTTGTATACAATTTCCAGGTTCACTCGAAATATTGGGTTTGGCTACCAGAATATAAGGTGATAAGGCGATGATAACACAAGATTACAACAATAATCACGCGATAATATCTAAGTCTGCTTTGTCGTATGTCTTGTTATGAAAAAGACGAGATTTTACATTGCTCCTATCAGCTCATGTTCCTGAAGCAACGATCGCGAGTTTTACAACATCTTGATAAGATGTACGTAGTTAAGGCGAGATTAAGCCTTCTATTGAAGATGCTATCAGCTAGGAACCATACTATTCGAGAAAATCTGCGTTAGAAAATCGTGAGTATAAAGTTGACAGTAGAAAGTTAAAAGTTTACAGTAGATAGTAGAAATTCTGTCCATGGATGTAGATTTTAAGGTGAAAACCAGATTAAATGCATAAAGTTTTAGGTTTCCACCATAAAACTTCCCTTTAGATTTTCTACTGTTTACTTTTAATATACTCCTTTTAGCGCAAGATCGCTTTTTGAATCGATACCCCGCCATAATTTATAGTCAAATTCTGTCAAATTTGAAAAAAAAGTTTTTATATCAATTGATAAAAGCCGCTGAAACGCCCGTGTTTTTAGCTTTACACAGATCCTTAAATAATAAGAAACCGTTTAACCTGTTTGATTTGCGGGATAAGCATTTTCACCGAGATAACAAAATTTTTATCTGTTCTCATATTTGATTAGCGTACTTATACTTAGGCCTACTTTTATTTAATGTCTTCTGTAAGATTTTATTAGTCCAAAACTGCCTCCTCAACTTGACCAAGAATAACCGTTATAGTTTCGGACGGAAGGACCTGGCAGGGGAGCGACGGCGGCTCTGTAGAGCAAGCCGCGGGCTTACTAAAATTCTATCCTTGTGTTGGCCGAGATAGGTCCTCGGGATTTTTCAGTTTTGTTTTGATATGAAAAAAGAGGCCCGTTATTGGCCGTTATAATCCGACGAGTCCTTTGGAATATCGGATGGAACGAAAAATCAATGTCCCGTGTAGACTATACTATACTGGCAAACGTTAAAGATTATTTGACAGTTGTCCGGGCGTCATTTCCCTCATTTTTGTCATCACGGTTATCATTTCATTTCCATATGTAGACAGGCTACAATACGTGTTTCTGTTTATTTTATATTTTTTCTGTTATAAAGAGCAAATTATTCGAAAGATAGGCCTAGGACATAGTAGTCAGGATAGGTCATACCCCGTATTTTCTACCATTTTGACATAACGTTATTAAATTGTTATTCATGATGGAGCATATGTGGCACTTTGAATATGGCTCATTAAACAGGCGGTATGACTTTTCGCCGCTGACGACCACCGAGAAGCTATTTATATTTATCACCACCGACGACATAACAATAACAATCTTGATAAAAAAAATATATATATATATATATATATATATATATATTTTTAATAGCAGGAATACAAATAGTTTCCATCTACTAGCAAAAATAACATATTAGGCTACAAGTGCTCAAGAAAAATGTTTTGTATTTGCCAAATGAATGAAGGAATTGTGTGAATTTAGTTCAATTGACATAATCTGTCTTTTGCTTATTGTAGGTCTTGTCTTATTATGATAGATCCCGTTGTTAGCCGAAGCAGAAATTTCCCGTCTGGTTCTGCCTTCTACCTGGTGTGCATTTGATAGTCGGAGAGTGAAATAAGGGTAGTCGTTGCGCACAGCTGTTCGTGCAAAAATTTCTTGCGTGGCACACATGGCGTATGACCATCTTCACAGAGTATTTTTACTCTGTGCCGTCTTCATTATCCCGGTTGCTGAAAAAAGCATGTATTGTAGGAGTTACCCTCTCTTAGCATGACGTCATAAGTATATCCCAACATGGCGACTGCTTGTGCCCTGAAATGGGTACCCGATTCTTTATATAATACAGCAATTTCAGCCATTGTAGTTTCATATGGAAGACACAGACGCGATATAAAGATATTACACGAAGATATTCAATTCGATGTTTATTATAAGGTGAGTATGTGAACTGCTTTAAAACCTATTAGGCCTACATGGAAATAGGTGGAGCAGGTCTAGTATTGGCTTGACCTACTGCTTGTCTCTCGTTTTGCGATTGGCAACACCATTATTCATAGCAAAAAGAGCCTGGAAAAATGACTTACTAAAACGAACCAAATATATAAAATAGACATAACGACAACCTCGACACAATCGACACTTCACCTGCCCACTAGTATTCATATCTACACTCTCAAAAATTAGCTTTGTTTTCAATTCACGACAATTGTCATTCTCTGGAACCAGTCTAGGCCCTATTCCTAATCTGATATAGGCCTATATGATCCGGAAGAACCACCACAGAATATTTCTTTTTATTGTCTCGGAGGTCATCCGGGTTAGGGGTGGATATGATATGAAAAGTGGCCATGTGGCACTGTGATAATGCCATGGCACGGGTAAAAATGACACACAATAATGATGACCCAGGTAAAATTGACACAGCTAATGATGCCACAGGTAAAAATTTCAGATCATAAAATAAGTTGGAAATAAAAAGAAATATGCTTACATGAAGTATAAATAATTTGTTACGCTGAGTATGACTAGTCTAATGACGTAATGTGTTACTGTCATCATATTAAATAAAAAAAACCATTATAATGGCAGTCTGATAATGACTGAAGAACTATAGGCCTACATGTGTACCTTTCCTGGCTTTGAGAAATCCATTGACAGCTTGTTATCAAGTACACATAATACACTGTGGGTGACATGATGTTATTTTACAGGAACAGTAATTGTTATCTACATAGCTGGGGGTTATTGTTGTGGGATCCAACTCAAAATTCACCAAATGTATAATGTATGACATCATTATTGTTCGAGGGCTTTACATGTAAATAGAATTTATAAATATAGGTAGTAAATTACTCAAATATTGATTAATTAACAATTAACATAATGTTTGTTTGTTTGAGTGATGTGTATCAAATACTATTTTTATTTCAGTTGTACAATAAAGGAAGATTGTGTGAGCTGGGACTAGAATTCTCTGATTTAGAAACTTTTTCTAAGGTTCTTAAAGTCAATGATAAAAGGTAATGTTACATTTATGTATGTAATTTAAATTAAACTGTATTGACTTCACAATTTTTTTACATTGAAAGGGGTAAACAAATAAATTGGGAATGCTGAAAAGCAGAAATGAGTTTACAGAGATAACACCATGGTAGTTCAATTTCAGTGGTGGGGGAAATTCAGTAGCCTGAATAGTTATTGAAAACACCCTCAAAATTTATGACATGTTTTTCAAAGCTCAGCATATTGCTACCATGTATTTAAACATACATTATACAAGAGCTAAATCTGCCTATTGCAGGTCTTTTTTTAGACCTGAAAATGAAATGTTATGTTATTAGACATTAATTAACTTATCCAGACCATAATCAACTCTCAATGTCAACGCTAGCCTGCGATATTTATTGAATTCGGTTCTGATTTGCTGCTAAACTTTCATTAATGATTTAATCATGAAATGGATAATCAAGACTATGTTTTTTATCGTACTGACTTTAGTAATGATGATCGTGGCTAGGCCAAAAATTCAATAGCTAAAATCTCGGTTTAGAGTGGATCAATTTGATTGAAATTTTCAGCAAATTCCCTTTAGATTATCTAGTTTTTAACTGTTATAGTGAGAACTGCCAGCTCTTTATCTAATCTCCCATAATGTATCTTTAAAGATACAATATTCCAGACAAAAAGGCAAATATATAGACATTCTGATTGATATTGAACACTCCTAGAAAAATCCATAAATTTCTTTCGATGAACATTCAATTTTATCAATTTAGACTTATTCAAAGTTGGTCGAGTAGAGGCAAAAACTAGGTTGCTTGACAGCCTTTTGTAATTTTTTGTTTTACTCATCTTACACATACATTATGCAAGAGCTAAATCTGCTTATTGCAAGTCTTTCTTTAGGCCTGAAATGTTATCTAAATTATTAATTAGACATTAATTAACCTTTCCAGACCATAATCAACTCTAGATGACATCGCTAGCCTGCGATCTTAAGTGGATTGAGAGCCGATTTACTGCATAACTTTCCTTCTCGATTAAACGCTTAAGTGGATAATCGAGACTATGCTGTTTATCGTACTGATTTTTGTGATGATGACCGAGGCTAGGCAGAAATTTCATTCGCTTAGTTCTCGGTTCATAGTGGATCAATTTGAATGAAATTTTCAGCAAATTGCCTTATGTTATCTAGTTTTTAATTATTATAGTGAGAACTGCCAACTTGTTATCGAATCTCCCGTAATGTATCTTTAATTACTATCTAAAAGAGACTTTTCACTATTTGGGTCCTCGATTTTGGTAATTAAGGAAAATTTAATATTGGTCTTCAGGTCTATTGAGGCTGTAAAAGATTTCACTTTTATTATTATTATTTATCAATATATGCTTAAGGATATTTATTTTAGTATTTTTTTTTTGATTACAGATATTTACTCCATCATTGTTTTCAAGCTTTAATGGATCATGGTGTGAAAATATCAGAAATATTAGCAGATGCCTTTGCTCTTCAAATTACAGATGATGTTTATAAAGATCAGTTTAAACGTGTTAGAACGTTACAATTAGGATTTACACTAGGTAAGTTTTGTACGGCCACATTGAAATGTGTTTGTATTACTTGTATATTGTGGTCAGTCCGTCCTTTCGTCATCCAAAATTTCTTGTGGCCACACCAGGTTAAAGTTCTCTTACAATTGACTTGAAATTAATTGACTTGAATTTCATACACAGTGTTGATTTCCATGAGACAAAGAAGCCTGTTTGTTTTCATAGGTTCCTATAGTGTAATTCATCTGGCTAAAGTTTTCATCTGATAACCAATGTCTGTATTAAATTGTTACTGATTATCACTTGATCAGTTTTTAGTGTCTTAAATATGCTTCCATTTCCTAGCCTTCACAGAATCAGTTCTAAGAATAGATTATATGTTAATTATATCTATTTTATTTTAGGTGGATTTTTAAGTGATGCTGGTTGGTTTAATGATAGTGAAAAAGTTTATAAAGCCTGTTTGAATATCTGTCATGTCGATTCTACCCAAGGTTCATTATGTCGAGCTTTAGAATGTAGTGTCAGGTAATACAATCATACATTTCTTGACAATAGAGATTTAATTATGTGTTCCAGTTTGGTCATCTACATGTATTCATGACATCTAGGCACAGGCATCTGAAAGCTTTCTCTCAAATTACACATATATTTGTTACTGTGATTATTGGCAACAAAGTATTGAAATTTTAGTTTTCAATAAAATTAATATTATAATCGTGGGTCTTGAAATATTTGGGAAAAGTTATTTCTATATAGGTAACTAGGAATTGTATAAATATGTAAAAGAAACATGTTAGTTCTGTTTGATTACTTTATTTGTTTTTATTATTTTTCAGGTTATTACATGTTCAGAATGCTAACTGTAAATATGATGCTGCAGAGAAGACATGTACTTCTGCCTTTCAATTGGCTGATGATCTAAAAAAATTGGGTATCACTGTTAGCAGGGCCACGTTATTTACTGAATGTTCAACTTTATTGTTTGCAAAAAGTCATTATGATGAGGTTTGTTTAACTTAAAATATTATACTGGTTAGCATTTATAGACCTACTTTATAGAATATCCATTACAATTATTTCATGTCCTAAGCAGTTCATGCTGTACAATAATATAATCGATTTCGTAGAAGTTTGACTATTTTTTGTGAGCTGAAAAAGATATATTAATTGGTAAAAAATATAGACAATGCAGAAAAGGAAATTTGTAAGTAAATGTATTGCATTTAATTCTAAAACAGGATTTGTAAATTATTTAATTTCTTATTTTTACAGGCATTCAATAATTGTACTTCAGCATTAAAAGAAATTACAAGTTCATTACCTCATAAGGTATGGTTTAGGATAAACATAATATTAATTAGCTTGAATAATTATGATTTACTATATGTTGAGATGTATGTCAGATGTTGATTTCACACAAAATCACTTTTTTTTTACGCATATTCATCAAATAATTGAAAAGAAAAACCGTAATGCATTTTTGGCACACAGCTAAGTGCATCTTTCTAAGCTTTGTTTATCAACAGCATTGCCCTTTTGAAATGAAATGAAATGGCCTTTAACGTCCTACTTTTCTGCACCAGGCCAATGAAGACAGGCATACGTCCCAAACTACATTAAAAAAGTAACTGTTTTGATGGCATAGTATTGTATGTAATGACATTTGCAATGTAATGGCCACATGTCTCACACTGTTGTTGTTTATTATTTTTGTTGGAATAATCCATGTTGAGTGTAATTTGTGATATATCTTTAGTATATTTTTATTTATTAACAGGCTGTGGTAGACGTATTACGCCAGTGTTCTAAGGTAAACACGAATTTCATAATCATTAACCATATTTTGAAAGAGAATTATATTGACAAATTATTTTCAAACATTCAAGTTATTTGCATTTTAAAACACAATAGCTATTTATAAAAAGGGTAATAACTCATACTTTTGTCTTCTATAATGAAAAATCAGATGAAATTCTGTGAAAATCTTGTAGATTAGAAGGAATTATTATTGATGAAAGTATGTTTGATATATTTCAGGCATGTGTTGTAAAACGTGAGTTTGAGAAAGCAGGTTTGTTAATTAAACATGCTGTAGTATATGCCAGGTAAGTGCATGAATGAAAGTAATGTTGTCCAGATAAGTTAATATATTGTAATAGTAATAATAGTTTTATTGAAATATTATTTCATTGATCATATTAACAAAACAATATCAACTGTTCTTATGAGTTCACTTTTAATATATGACTTTTAGAATTTATTATATATTTCAGAGAGCATTTTGGTTGTAAGCATCCTAAATATTCTGATTCTCTATTAGATTATGGTTTCTTTTTGCTCAATGTAGATTCTATTCCGGCTGCTGTACATGTTTATCAGGTAATACCTATGTTTCCTTTCCAGTTTCTTGGCTGATTTCATACAATTGGTATCAATGTAATTTGATCGATGTGTTCCTAATTTCAGTTTTACAGGACTTTACGCCATAATACATTTTTGATGGGAGGAATCCCCAAATTTAAAAGATCAGAAGTGAATGAAATTATGTGTTATGATGAAAGATATGTTCCACAGAACAATGTATATTTAAATGACTCTTATTATGTTCAATGTATCAATCTAAAATTTATATCTTATGTTGTAGATGGCACTGGATATTCGGCAGTCTGTTTTTGGTGGTAAAAACTTGTTTGTTGCTACTTCTCATGAAGATCTGGCCTATGCTTCATATGTTAATGAATATAGCTCAGGAAAATTCACTGGTGCCAGGTATAGTTAATAACAGTAACTATTGAAACAATTTCAGTTTGTGAAATGTTGCAGCCAATACAGATTATTTTTTTATTTTTTAAAGTTGGAAAAACATATGAGTTAAAAGTTTAAATGCGGTGAAATTGTTGATTTTAACAATATCTTTTCGGTGTATTAATGTGGGGTTGTATTAATTATTTTGTTTTATTTCAGAGAGCATGCAGAGAAAGCTATAGAAATATTATGTCATATTTTACCTTCTGATCATTTGTTATTATCTTCATCTAAACGGGTTAAAGGTCAGTTTCTATTAATTTATATATACTTCACAGCAATATGAAATTACTGACTACAGTAAAACCATGTTTTCAGAACAAATGATTGACTTATCCACAAATGCTTCTCGCTATAACTCGGTGCCCCTATCTTTTATCAGTAGGAGAGAAACCTGATGGATCTAGTTTAAATCAAAGCATTGATATTTTGATATTGCACAACACGGGCCATAAAGAATGCCAATATTGTAGTGTACATGTATGATCTATTTTCTTATAGTTATTTTAATTGAAGTTACATGAGTTGAGGTTGTCCAAATTTTATTTTAGAAATACAGTAAACCTTGCATAATTCGGATTCGCATCCATGTAAATCCCACCCCACATCTACACCTCAATGTTTAGCAGAAGGGGACAGATTTTTAACAGCATGTTGTGTTGCACGTACTGACTCTAGTGAGGCATGCAAGGTCTTATTTTCTCACTAAAATGTTCCTTTACATTGTTTGGACGTTCACAGAGACTGACACACGACCGCTTAGCAGTAAAAAGTTGGCGAGTAAAATTGACTGTGAACCGATTTTATTTCGACAAGGATTCAATAGGACGGTTCCTGAACGTACAGGCCGATAATGAGACATTTGTTCGGAGCTGAACTAGGTCTTCGGCTAACTCAGATCTTCGTGTAACTCGGATAAAATTGGTCAGTCCATTTAGATCCGACTTATGCGAAGTTTACTGTATAGACATTGTGTGATAATTTGTACTTGACAAATTTTTAATGAAAAAATTGTATTATATTTCAGCTTTGATATTAGAAGAAATAGCTATCGATAGTCATCATAAAGAAACAGAAGCTAGTTATTTACAAGAAGCTCAAGAATTACATCTACAATCTTTAGAACTTGCTAAAAAAGCTTTTGGTGAAAATAACGTACAAACAGCCAAACATTACGGTAACCTTGGGAGATTATATCAGTCAATGCAGAGGTTTGAGGTAAGATGGGGTTAATATGTAAAATAAAACAAAGATTACTTAACAAATATCAAAAACTATCCACAAGAAGAAAATAAAAGTCTTACTTTAGCATTTCTCAATTTTAGTTTGTACATGCCGGTTTAACAGTATTTTTTTCAAGAGAAGATTGGTATTTACAATTTATCACTTTTAACAATACAAGTGAATAGGATGCAGTAACAAGCAAATGTTTTTCTATAAACGTGCTTCCCTAAGAACAATCGTTACATTTTTGAATACTTAAATGATGTCTATCTATAAAAAGTATATAAAGTCTTAAGCATTGTGTATCTTTTATTCATTATTTGATATACTGTTATATTAATATATTTGTAGGAAGCTGAAGAAATGCATCTTAAAGCTATTGATATAAAAGAACGATTACTTGGACCAGAAGATTATGAGGTGTCTTTATCTGTCGGTCATCTTGCTAGTTTATATAATTATGATATGGCTAAATTTGATGAGGCAGAGAAATTGTATTTACGTTCAATAGCTATTGGTAAGTTCAAACATTATACGTTTATAATCATAGCGTTTCTCTTTATTCAACCCCTGCTTCTACAGCGGCATATCACTGAGGTGGTAAGTGGATCGTCAATGATTTTTTTTTTGTCCTATGGAACTTAATATTTTGTGTAAACTTGGGTTATTTGAGTAGCATAACCGATGAAAATGTGAAAAGACTAATTGTTTTGTGGAAACTTTTGTAAAAAAATGTCCACACAGGTCTATGTGATCTTTGACAGTGACTTCCTCTTGAAAGGATTATGGGAAACTTGAATCAAGATTGTGTTTAATATCAAAATCTTTAAAATGGTTAATACTTATCTTCATTAACCAGGTGGGTGCAGAAGACTAAGATGCTAAACCCTCATTTCATTTCATGTAGGGGGGGGGGGATCACGTGGCTAAGTGGGTAAGATGCTGGCTCGCTAGTCTGGAGGTCGGGTGTTCGATCCCTGCATTGGCCGAGAAAGTTCATCCAAATTTTCCGGCGTGGTCCCCCCTTGTCAGTGATGCAGGACGGAGGGCCTGACAAGGGCAGCTGTCTAGTCCTTCGGATAAGATGAAAAACCGAGGTCCCGTGTATACATTGGAATGCACGTAAAAGATCCCTTGGCAGTTGGAATTCGATATAAGAGTAGGCGATAGTGCCGCTGCCCGGACAAAATTTCCCTAATAGCACACTGTATGGCGTATGCCGGTCTTCATTAGCTCAGTATAGGAGCAGAACAGTAGGATGTTAAACCCCATTTCATTTCATGTAGGTATAATAATACCACGGGTGAATGGTTTTATTTAATGTCTGATTATACCAGAGTGATGCTGATACTTGAATCTACCCTAGCCTCTTTATACTCTCACATTGAACACCCAGTAAGCTCAAAATATTTTCAGTTGTTTGTGCACCTGGCCGTTGATCTTTATAAAGTTGATTCTTCTTGTCTTGATGGATGAAAGATAGATGCCTATTGCTTGTCATAATTTATATCAATAATTTTATTGGGTGAGCCACGATAATAAGGTCCCTGGTTTTATCTTGGCGTTGGCTAAGATAGTTCCTCGTGATTTGCCAGTCTGGTCCCCCCCCCCCCCAAGGGAAGAAAATGGATCTAGTCAGTTGGATGGGACAAAAAACAACATACCATGTGTGCCATTGGCAGCACATTAATGATCCCATGAAATGAGAGTAGGCCATAGCACTGCTGTCTTGACCCAAATTTCCCTCAGAGCATACAACATGCCAATCTTCAGTAGCAGGGTTCATATATGAAAGGAACATTAAACATATTTCATAATATTTGTCTGATATAATTAATATAATGTATGTTTTTAGGTAAGAAGTTATTTGGTGAAGGATATAGTGGATTAGAGTATGATTATCGTGGACTATTACGTCTCTATAGTAACTTAAACAATCAGGAGAAAACCAGTCATTATTCACATATATTACAAGAGTGGAATCTGATAAGAGACAAGAATAACGCAGAAGAGGTTAAACCTCTAGAGATAGAACTAGTTGTTTCTGTACCAGAAATTGTTGAATTATATTTTAAGTGATGGGAGCTGTGTTGATTCATATTGTTGTTTATTTATTATTTAAAGACTGGGTTGTAGAGGATCGGATAATATTAACAAGTGATATATATGCCAAGTTGGGAAAAAGGAGAGATGTTTGTTATTGAAAATCAAGTATATTGTCCACTAAAATTTTATAGAATATCCCCCAAAATATGATGTAGAAACTACTATAGTAGTCGAAGTGGTGACTTAATTAACCATACAGACATTTGGGACATGTTTATCAAGAAACTTATCAACAAAAGACTGATGATGTTAAGTCAGTAATTTGAACAAATTTGACTGTTCTTGTGAACTATTAATATTCATACTGTGATTTATACTTTGACGTGTATAATATTCTGGCCAGTCAAAAAGACTGGTTTTAAAAGATTGTTTTCATAGTGTTTGGACCATTAGTGTGTTTTATAATTTGACCATCATTAATTTATCATATTGTTTTAGTCAGGTCAATTTTGGGATACCCAAAATGTCCACTACAATGAGTTATGACCGGTTTACTTTAAGCACAAAAAAAGCATCAGTGACCTAGTCTACTTCCATCAATTTTCTTGTCATGATAACCGATTGGTAGTAAATATTGTCTCTGGTTCTTATAAAGTCACAATGAAACAGACCTTTTGTTTACTATACTAGTGAACATATACTTTTGGTGGTAAATACAATTTACCAGGGTCATGGACCCAGCTTTGACACTGATCTTAGAGCTATCAGGTTATTTATACTCTATGTGACTGAAATAGAAAATAAACTTTAGAATACTATACATCATTAAATCCAGTTTCAGATAAACTTTTCAAAGATATAAAGTTCATTCTGATGGATAATGAGAAGAGAAATAGAAAGTTGAGTGTTTATTCATCTTGAGTTGACCATACTGATGAAATTTCCCAGGCCATTCAATGCATATTGTTAGTGTAGGTTACAGAAGCTTGGTAATCAATATTCTGCTTCCAAATGTACAAAAGCCTCAAATATATATATATATAATCACTACAACTTACCACAGGGAATAGTAAAATTAATTTAAAATCAAATGAATAATGATTTTGTCTTTATCATGATGATTGTTTGTTAAATTATTAGTTTTGTATAGCAAAGATAGACTTGTATTTTGAGTGTATGTCAGATTGTATACAGAATTGTGCTTAAAAAACTTGCAAACATCTGTGCCATGTTTCATACAGAACCATACCCTAATTTGCAGTGTACTTGCATATGGTTATATGTGATTGGTTAATTTCAGTATAGATATGTACCAGTATGTGTATTGTTTGCCAACAGAAGTAGAAGTAATAACCTAATTTTGTATTAAAAAAAAAAATATATTGCTAATAAGATATTGAGGCTTTCATGTGGCTATGTGCTTTCCATGTATAATGTTATAAGTATATAATTTCATTGAACAATGTTATTTCAAATGGCTGATAGTTTCTGGGGGTCTGACATAAATGGAAATTTAAAATGTATTAAATTATATCAAAAAATTCATTCTTTAGCAATAACAGAACACCCCCCCCCCCCCCCCACCAAAAAAAAATATTTATTTTACATTTACGTACATTCATCAAGAGTTTTTATGACCCTATGTGTATGTTAACATTGAAACTAAAATGATGATAATGACTAGTCTATCAAATATTTTTAAAGGAATTACAAGTCTAAGATCTGATCTTTGGTATGTTAATCATAATGGTAGTTTGATGCATTGCACAGCTTTCTGTAAGAATCAATAAATATAACAAACATTAAAATGGCCAAATCTAGATTTCAGAAACATATCATTTACATATCTCAAAATATTTTAAAATTAGGTGAATCAGTTATTACAAATTAAATGTATTCTTGTATTATTAACGCATCAGTTTCAAGTGCATACAGAAAAGAGCTAAATAGTATATAATACTTTCGATTTTTTTTTTTTTTTTTTCTACTAAATATTTTGCACCATTGAAGATACTTTCCCTCAAAAAAGTATTTATCGGGTGGTTATTTCCAATAAAAGTATGGCAATTTTGGTACATATGAAAAGCAAAATACCCATGAAGAACCTACAGGACAAAGATGTAAGGGTTTCCGGCAACCCGGCGATTAGGGATGTCTGCACAAGTGACATCAAAGGTTGCGCGCTAAGATTGTCTGATTAGTGAGCACTTGATGTATATGTTGATAAACTTGATGGTGAACTTAAAAACCACAGAAATAAACGCGGGCAGTGGATAATCAGAGAATTTAATTAGGCTTTGATATTTATGATAAATAAATAGGAATTAAAGACAACATTGACTTGTATATGCAATGAATTCTCCTCTGGCTTCGCACTCGTTGCTAGGTACAGCATCAGCCAAGTCAGGGGTATTCCCTGACGAATACAATGTTTTGAGAAAATTTTGATAGATTAATTAGTTTGAATATGTTTTTAGTCCAAATATATCTTCAAATCACTCAGTTTGTACACGGGGAAGGTATCTTTAATATTTACTGTTTAATTAACATGTCATTTTATTCTCAGTGTCCCTATATTTTTTTTATTGAAACTCTATTTTTATTATTTACTTCATATCATATGGTTATGATACAAAATTTAGGAAATAATTTATACACATCACATCACAGTATTCAAGTGAATATTCATAATTATTTATTATCATAATTCATCATTAAAGAATATTGATTATTCTGTTTAATTTAGTATGTGTATGAGATATATGTGTATTTAAGTAGGTGACAGGGAGGAGGCTGTGCCTAATGTGAAATCCTTATCTCCAGTGATTATTACATGTAGTTATTGATCAAATGTTTGTAAATAAATGCAATGTATGATATTGAAATCATACAAATCATGTTCAAATGTCTTTTACAAAATGTACATTTACACCATGTAATTGACATTATGATCAGCTTTATGCTTGAATTATGATAATTTGATGTAAACCTTATGTTGTAAGGTATATTATAATAATGTACTTGGTATTACATGTATCCACAGTATCAATAACTGAGTCTGTGTCCACTGCCAACCATGGGCATTATTATAGGGTTCATGTGCCAACAAAGCTCTGGAGAAAACTGACTAAATTAGAGTTTTTGTTATGTTACATGGGGAGTTAATCTACAAACTTTTCTACATTTTTCTTAAATTTTCATAAGTATTTCTTTATATTAACAATGATACAGGAAGCATTTATTTATTATATCAAATCATACAGGGTGTTAATTAATACTTCAAATTAAATATGACTTTACAAGTATTGATGTGTATATTAAATCTAAACATGTGCCTGTGTATATTTATTGTTTTGTGAGCTATATGTAAATAGTGTTGTTGTTATATGAAGTATTGTAAACAATAATCATGTAAATATATACATTATTGAACATTGTATCATTGTGCTTTGAAAGCAATATATATACATGTATATTAAAAAATAGTTCAACCTGAACAAGGTTTTGTTCTCATCAATTTGTGGGAGACATCTTGCATTCCATGTGCCCGAACTATTAATAGATTTCAGTGTTTATGTATTGATATATTCATACACACACATACACTGGCCCCATCCACCAAATTTCTCTGCAGCCCTTTCAGTGATGCCGACTCTCCTTTAAAAACTTTTTCGGTGCAGCACCCCAGAACCTATTGAATCAACAATAGAGACTCGCCCCTTATTGCAGGGGTGGTGTCCAAAAAGTGTTGTAGTGACTGAGTGGTCCACCCCATAAAATTTGAAAGAATGGAACCAAAATGATGTAAGCTTTACATAATTCTAACGATCAATGTTAACTGGGACTGTTGATACCATTTTGCCCCCCCCCCCCTTCCCACACACCCAAATTGCCGAGCAGGGTAATTTTCAATCTAAACTTACATTATGCAAGAGCTAAATCTGCCTATTGCAGGTCTTTCTTTAGGCCTGAAATGTTATCTAAATTATTAATTAGACATTAATTAACTTATCCAGACCATAATCAACTCTCGATGGCATCGCTAGCCTGCGATGTTTCTTGGATTGGGTTCCGATTTCCTTTTCGACTTCCATTCATAATTTAATCATGAAATAAAATAAAACCAAGTACCAACAATCCAAACCATTAGACAAAACTCGAAGTCCTAAAAAAACGGTATAGGAAAAATAGTGTAATCAGTAGATGGACTGTTCACCGTGTACAAAATACACGACAAACAGTGGTAACAGGTGTCCGGAAGAGTAACAAAGATGTTATCAATTAAAAAATCCAACATCTGAATTATCTTGTTGGCCGTGAATTTATTTTTGGAATCACTGGTTCTTAACGAAATATGTGCAATTGTAATTAACAACTAAATATTGATGTCTAACTAGTTCCCGATTTAGATGAAAAGACACTGTGAATAATATCTTTTAACCGAGCATTTAATTTACCATGGGGAATTTTAGTGTACAAAGTAGAAAAGCCAAACGTTTGTAAGCAAGTGATCTATTAGATTGCAAACCATCAAGTAATTCTTTGGAATCTTTTAATATCCACATTTGATTAATACCACTACGAGAGTATATTTTGTCACAGTATTTTTGAATACCCTTTTAACTGCCGTTAGTATAGATGTCAATACTTTTGAAAATGGTTTTAGATAATCGAGACTATGTTTTTTATCGTACGGACTTTAGTAATGCTGATCGAGACTAGGCCGAAAATTCAATCGCTAAAATCTCGGTTCATAGTGGATCAATTTGACTGAAATTTTCAGCAAATTGCCTTTACTTTATCTAGTTTCTAAATAATATATAGTGGTATCTGCCAGCTCTTTATCTAATCTCCCATAATGTATCTTTAAGTTATTACAGTCTGTGACTATTTAAAACATCATTAAGATTTTCAATGAAATTGATGAAACGTTTATGTTCATTTGAAGAAAAACATCTTGAAATAAAGATTTGGTCAGTTCTTTTCCAGTAAATCATAGCTTTCCTGCCAATCCTATTTCGTTTGTCTATCCTAGCAGCGAATTTGACAAAAACCAAGATGTCTGCGCCCATGAACCGGAACTTAGATTGATCATTGTAAACAAATGCAATTTTTTTTCTAGATAAAGTGGGTAACCTGCGGTTATATAGAGTGAAATTAAACACCTGTTATTACAACGAAAACACCCTTTGTCCGAAGTGCTATTATTCTATCGAGGAACGATCACAAAATGGCGAAATGTCTGTTATTTTTATCAATTCTTGTTGTAGGAATAGCAGTTTTATTTACTGTTGACAGTTTTAAACCGTATAAAGAAACACTTTTAAAATATATGGACAATTTAGGATTATCAAAAGTACTTTTTCGTTTAAATGATAAACTGAAAAACTATTTTATTTTTACCTTTAAAGAGAAAATTTTAACAAAAGCTGAATTAGCTCAATATATTGAAGAACCTGTATATTTAGCAATACTGGGAAAAGTATATGATGTCACCAAAGGGAAGAGACATTATGGTAAAGGTGGCTCTTATGAAGGGTTTGCAGGTAAGAGTAGTTTGATGTTTATTTTTCAAGATAAATATAAATACATAATTTGAGATTGATAAAAAGTGGGAACTGAGAAAGGGTATGTGTACGGCTGTGTCGTGCACTAGGGCAGAACAGACTGAATTAAATTTCAAATTCTGTTGATATTTATAGCACTATATTTATATATACAACATACCCAACCTCGGTTTATCATATTTATCATCAATAAATATCCTTTGTGTTTGTCCTTGGCCTATGCCTACTGTAGGCTATTTATGTGAGTTAAAAAAAAGTTCAACTATTTTGCTCTGGTTTGAATCCGGGCCTCTTTCTAGAGACAGTAGAATTTTATAGTAAACTGCTTGTCCCTCAAAAATCTTATCAAGCAATGTGGATATTGTGTAGCCCTATAAGTAACAAGGTTGTTAACAAGCATAGGCTTGACCTACATGTAGGGCCTACTATGCTAGGATTTTTTAAGAGGTACCGGTATCTAATAATAACTTTCAGACTATCCATTTCCGGCCATATGGCCTGTCACTAAGCTTCTGAGGAATCCAATTATTAGGACAAAATCTTTAATGGCAATATTAGTAATAAATCAATAGAAATTTCTATAGTATGATCCCCATCTTTTTCTATAGTGTATTTTCTTTTACGAGACAATATTTTTTTGATTGATTGTAATTTCAGGAAAAGATGGTACAAGAGCGTTTATTACCGGAGAATTTGATGAAGCTGGTTTGATTGAAGATATACGTGGTTTTACATTACAAGAATTTTTAGGACTTAATGAATGGCAACAGTTATATGAAAGAGACTATAAGTACATTGGTAAGTCAATCATGATGAATAATAGTATACATATGGAATGCTGAGGTAGGTATATTCATATAGCAAGTATAGAACTATTTTAGATACCAATAGAAAAAAAAATTGGTAACAGTTCAAAATATATACTTAGACTGACTTAAAGTAGGTAAGTCTCTAACTCAATATCATCCAAAATCTTCAACATTGAAAACACGATTTATTTGTCAAATTAAATCAACATTCATGTTGTGATCTTACCGGAAAAAGATGGGCTTTTGATATCCAATATTTAAGACAAAATAAACATTTTACCATTGGTACACGAATCGTGTACCATAATGAGCTTCAGCCCCAGTTGTATCAAGAGACTCGAGGGAAGACACATTGCACCAAATCAAACAGCGTATGTAGACTGGACTAACCAGACGCTAGAAATTTGTACTCGCTTGAGACTGCTGGCTTATTTCGCAGAACATAACTGATTTGAAATTGGAGTAAAAACGGAAACTATTGAATGTAAATCAGTTTATATGCATTCATATTACAGTATTATATGTGTTGCGACCCACTTTTGTCAATTTCGAGGCCCCAAATGTTAGCGATTTAGCTCCTTTAAGTATCGCAACATGGTTAATGGGTTAGCCCTTTCCTTACATGTTGGTGTTCAGTTGGATATGCCAACCCAGTTATCCTTTAAGCTGTCAGATCTGGGAATACCTCTTAAAACATTTTAAATATATTTACATGTATATTGAATGTTGTTACGATAGTAGTTAAGTTTTATAAATAAAATGAAATGGATTTTATGTCTTACATTTCTGCTCCAACTAGGTTAATGATGGTCAGCAGTAATATGGCCTACTCTTATTTCAATTCCCATGCGTCAGAGGATTTTTTTGACTCATTCAAATGACTAGACATATTATTTCCTTGTCAGGCCCTCTGTTCTGTACCACAGACCAAGGGAAGCTAAGCTTGAAAATCACAAGCAACTGCCTCTGCCAACACTTGATCAAACCTGGGAACACTTGGTTAGTGATAACCTTTTGTTATGTGATTTGTATTTTGTAGGTAAAGTTATTGGTGAATTTTATGATGAAAAAGGCAAACCAACAGAAACCTTAGAAACCTTTAATAAACACCTTAAAGAAGCATATAAAGAGAAACAAGCAGAAGCTGATGATATGAAAATATTCCCACCGTGTAACTCAGAATGGAGTGAACAAGCAGGCAAGAGATTATGGTGCACTGAATGGAGGTGAGTTCTTCAACTTTAGCTCAACTCAAGTTTTAATATCTTTGTGCATGTGTTTCTGTTAATATTATACAGTTCAAACTAGAATCAATAGTTTACACAGTTCAAGTGTGATTTCAGACAGAGTTATTTATAACATAGTAAAACTCTCACTAAAATAGATGATTATTTTAAATTATGTGTATAAGAAAGTTAAATCCTTATATTACAGAATCATATACATCAATTATATATATTATTACGCTTGAATGTTAAAAATTTCCCTGCGATGATTTTTATCCCAAGAAGGTTTCACAGACTTTAACAGCTGGCTGCTATTCAAGTTCTGATATTCTGTGGTCTCTCTTATAAATATATAACAATAGTACAGTTCATACAATTGTTGTAATAAAAATTTTCGGCCTTCAAGAATCATCCTTCCATTCAAATTATGAAGATAACTGATTATCCATTCCTTTGTAGATCAAACAGACATTAGGTCAGTTGGATAAATAAAATCGACTGATATCATGTTTTCTGGTTTTTTTTAGTGGAGGTATAAAGCGTAAATGGGTGGGTGTACCAAGGCAATATTTAAAGGCAGGAAAGACTACACCACGATGTGCCTGTGTTAATGAGAAGCTTTTGAATAATCCTAGTTTAAAAGTTTATCCTGATTGTGATTCTACAGCTGTATCTTGTTCTTTTCCCAGCTGATTCAATCCACTGTAAATTAAACTGAAAGTATTTCCTCATATTAATTGATAAAAATGAATATACAATTTAGACATATATAACTGTGCACAATAATATTAATATAATATATATTTAAATTTTAATCATATTAATTATACACTTGTACATTCATTGTATTTTATAAAGAACATTTAAGATCTCATTATTAATATCTCAACATCTTGACATAACAATTGCTCAGAATCTTTTTGTAGTTATTGTTTTACTTGTCTGTGTATAACATAAACAGTGAAAGTTTATGCAATGTTGTTATAAATATTTTTAAATAAACTATTTTTATTTACTAAACAACAAAGAATTTCAGTTATTTCGTATATTTACAGGTAAACCAAACAGATAATATATTTTTGACAACAGTCTTTTAAATGCTCGTAAAAATTTGTTGCATCTGAGTATGCATATAATCTGAAAAAAATATGCTGATATCATCTAGATGCTAGATTTGTTAGTATGCTAATATACATTTCTTGATAAAAAAAAAGCCCTGCAGTAGGGGGAAACATATATACTGCTTCATGCATGACACTTGTCATAATCTATGGCTTTGTAGATCAATGAAATTTAAAGTGTCATCTTAAATGTAATACCAAACCAAAGTGCCTCAGCCAATGATCAATCTCAATAATCTGGTTGACTTAAATTGAAACCATTTCATTCACCTAATCCTGGACTATTATGAGGAAGTTATTGAATACACGCAAAAGCTCTATTTTAGTTGTATTAATAATTTATTATCACAATTAACTAACACCATTCCTCTCTATCAGTATCAATAATAGATGTGTCTAATTTTTCTTCCATCTTGGCCAGTAACCAGGGTGCCTTGTCAATTACTACTGTTAGTAAACGATCCAGGTACTCTTTTTGTTGCCTGGCTTCCCTCATTTTTTGTACTAAAACCTTTAATACGTCATCCTATAATAACAATAATATAATGGTATATTAGGAAATTAATTCAACAACAATATCTTATTTAAACTCTAAATCAATGTATTTCATATAATTAATAATAACGTACCTTGAGGAATTGGTCTGTTTTCAATAGTTCTATATTTTCTTCCGAGCCACTTTCTGTGTTTCGATTTTCAACTGTAAGTATCATATATAAAGGTATATAAAGGGGTATAATTATACTCAAATTCTAATGAGGTAGGCCAAGAGCAATATTATTTAGATATATATACATAGTTACCTCTCCATTATGTTTTCTTCTGACCGGGTGGCAGTTTTCCTTCAGTGGATTGTTTTTGTCATACATGCCAGGGACAAGCTTTAAAAAGTGTGAAACTCTTTACATTTACTGAATTTAACTTTAAAATTGTTAGGGTTTTTATCGTTTCAGATTACTACCTACCGCCTTGTATTTCAGATATTATATTACAGAATAATTAAAGATCCATATTTATACTGACCAATGTTGGGCGTTTTCTGATTCTTCTCTACAGACTGAGGTTCTAACCACCCATCGTTGATTTTCATAAAAGAGAGACGTTGTCTTATTTCTAACCACCTGGATTCAGCTAGAAATAACTAAAAGTATATAATATATTCATTAGTAGTTTGTTAGCTACGTGGTATTGGGCGCGCTAGAAAAGAATGAGCATACAGCGCCTAATGCACCGTCACTATACTCCATTGCGGAATATATACTACACATCGTCAATAATTACTTTTAAAGCTATAAAAATAATATACATGCACTACACATGATCAATAATAACTTTTAAAGCGACACAGTTGTCTGCATGGATTATGAACCCCCCCAAAATATCCAAGACAAAACAACAGTTAGTACATACATACCGACCTACCTGATTCTGGAGGTTTTGTATTTTTTCTAATATAGCTGGGTCTGTTTCTGTCCTGAAAAAAAAATATATTTTTGAAATAAATATCCAACAAAGATTTATATTCAAAGTGAACATAACAGATTTAGTAGGTTTAACGCCCTAGTTTTCATTTTATTTCATTCGCTGGTTTAAGGCAGTGACACGAAAGTGTTTACAAAATTGTGAGCGGACAGACAGACACGCGAACGGATAATGATGGCGACAATATAATTTTTAGAAAAATGTGGGCGTGAGGAAATGACATGAAATTGGGTCTAACGACCTACTGTTCTGCTCCGACTGGGCTAATGAAGACGGGGAAATTCAAAAAGAGAAAAATATTTAAAGAATTAACAGACAAATAAAGAGAAAAAGGCGGACGATCTTGATAACTCAACATAAACTATATAAAAGTTATTGGATTTCTGTTGGATTTCTTACAATATAAATGACCATAGTGTGAACCTCCTGTTATTTGTCATACAAGTGTAATCCTTCAATAAAACATAAATATGCCTTGGTATTGGACAAGTAATACACCCCGCGATAAATTCTTATTATGACCGTAAGATCTATAAGACGCGAAGTTTATAGAGAAGCGCGCAACCCCGAAATTCAAAATAACGTCACACTATTGTGTCCAATCCCATGATGCACTATAGGTAACCCAGTAACGTCTTATCTATGCCTAGATAGAGTTGCGCGCTTTTTACGGATTTATCAAAACTTTGATAAAATCATAAAAATGGGATGTATTTATTCTAACCCTATCAACGGAGTTGCACCAATATTAGATAAAAATACAGAAAATCCGGGAAAAGATAGACCTACAGATAAATCAGAGCTCTTTCTTGTAACCAGAAATAGAAGAATGGAGACCTCTTCTTCACCAACTCTAGCAAGAAACCAACAGGAGTGGATTAGCCGACCTAAAGTTTGGAGCATCTGGCGGTATAAGTTTTGAGGTAGTGGAGGCTAATCCCAGGAAAACAACCCCAGCAAAAGTTATACAGAGAAGAGAGGTTAAAGGTCTCACAGAATTACAGATAAAAGCCAAGTTAGAAAAAGCAGAGAAAAGGCGAAAGGTTAGTCATAAAGAAATATCTTAACCCCAGAACAACCAAACTATATAATCCACCTGGCCCATCTACTGCAATAAAAGAGAGTGGCGAATGGGATTACGAATACAATCCGCCACCAATTCGCAGAGACCTTTGTGGATGTTCTTGGGCACTCGCCAGGATATAATATTCTGGTTGCTTCTGCAACACTTTCGTAAGCAATCACAAGCTATTATGATTGACGGTAAGGTATTTGTGATGATCGTAATACATTTGTAAGGATTTAACTAGCAGCGATCATAAGACATAATTTTGTGGATATCATTTTATGAAAAATTTGAAATTCGTGGCAAATTTACCGAAATGCCTCATTGTTTTTCAATATTTCTTCATGCCAATCTTATCATTTCCGGTGTTTTTGCAACGAATTTCAAAGTTTCATATTCGCATGCAAGGATATTCGCCATTGTGAGAGAGTCGCTAAAGAAAAAAAAAGTGCGGACGATATTCCTCCCTTCTTGCCTCAAGTTTATCTAGATACGATTTTCAAATATTAACTCGGTCTGCGCTATTTCCAGTAAATAATGACTTGACAACGGGCTGTTAAATAATCACCCACTACCCTCTTTTCGAAAAGATTGGATTCGCCCCCGGAAAGCACGAACAGTAAGCAAAAATTATGAACAGTTTATGAATGTTGAATTAAGCACAACCCGTCATTGAAATATTTTTTTTCAACAGGAAATAAAAGAACATATGATCGAGAGGTTACATAATGAATGCGGAGAAAAGACTGCAGTATTTGAAAAAGTCGCACAAAAAAAGATTATAGAAAAACAAGAATTTCAAAAAGACAAAATGGTTGCCGCCGAAAAAAATAGAGAGATGATATTAAAAAAATTAAGAGATAGATTGAAAGAAAAACACAATAAGTCAGAGATAGTAAGAAACAGAAGAGAAATAACTGGAGATCATATCGGCGCTTCTTTAGTCAGCCGACCAGGAACACAAACATCGGCTGGTTTCAGCTTTGAAATCCTTCATGTCAATCCAGCACTACCAGAAGGACACCCAGCTTGAAACCCTGAGTAAAAGAAGAAAGAGTAAATTGGAGAAGGGAAATCAAAAACAAAACTTAAATGGACGAGAGGTTAGTAATACTATTGTCTCCTATATAGAAAGGAATATGAGTTAACATTTCGTCGACACAATATCGGTCATTTTGCAATTACAACTACAGTAGTTAATTGCCTGTGTCAAATTATTGTTCCAAGATAACGGCTTTTCTGCCACACGTCCTAGAATTTAAACTGTCCCAAACGCCCAATATGCACACCGGGTTAGCGCATTTTTTCGTCCCATCAAAACCTTTAGTCACGCTTTCCCGGTCAGCATCACATACGGTAGTCCGTAGGTGCACGAGCCCGATGAGTTGTTTTAACACGGTGGTAAACCGAAAATTAGACGGCCGCAATCGCGTTTTCCTGCCATTCCAGCCCGCCAACTGTAACTAGAAAGTATAGCCTAAAAGAGCCTTATTTATCTGTCTCGACTTGAATTCCATATTTGGGCGAGGGGGAGCGGGGGCAAAACTGAAATCGCGGAAAAAATACCGGTTTAGGTTCCTCGGAGCCGCCATCGCATTTTCAAGTTAAAAATAATAAGTATGTCATCAGTTGAATATTATGGTTCCTTCAGTGTGCAAAATAAATGACCTTTCAGTTTAATCTTAAAATTTTCAACATTTTTACACATCTTTATATCAAAAGGCAGATTGTTCCATAAAAGACATGCAGAATAATAAAAAGTACGTTTCATGGATTCCGTTTTGCAATTTTGAAGAAAAGGAGATTTACTGGTCTGTGAACGGAGCAAGATATCCGTTTTGGAAACAAGAGATTTTTCAATAAAATAGAAATTTAGATAAAGTGGAGTATTAAATGTAATAATTTTGAATGCTAAGACAATTTTATTGTAAAGAATCCTCTGTGTAAGGGTAAGCCAACCGAGTTTAGTAAATAAAGAGGTGGACGAAGTTTCAATCGGTGCATCAAGAATAGTTCTTGCTGCCCTCTTTTGTAATTTTAAAAGAATGTCTAATCTACTTTTGGTAGCATTTCCCCAAATAATAGAGCAATAATCAAATATTGGTAGTATGTAACTGTTATAAAACAAAATTCCTGTCTCGTAAGATAAATGATCTTTTATCTTATTTAGGAGAAATATTTTTGATGCAAGTTTTTTAGACATATCTGCTATCTGTGCTTCCCAATTAAGGTCTTGGTCAATTTGAATTCCAAGTAATTTTGCGGTAGTAACCGTCTCAATTTTCTCACCATGGAGTGATAAAGTTAGGTTTTTCTGATTTCTTTTGTGTTTTGATGAAATCAGCATTGATTTTGTTTTCGAAGGATTGATTACCATCCCATTGTTTTCACACCATTTAGCAACCAAATAGAGATAATTTTGGAGATTATTGGCGATGGATTAAATATCTTTGTGTGAACAATGCAGGGTACTGTCATCAGCAAACAAATCTATATTGAGTGGGAAATCATTTATAAAAATAAGGAATAGGAGAGGACCCACGATCGACCCTTGTGGAACCCCGCATTTGACTGTAGTAATTGAGGAGGTAATTGATCCTAAACATACTTTTTGCTTCCGTTAGTCAAGATATGATTCAATCAAAATTTGTGAATTATTATCAAATCGATAAAGATGTAGTTTTTCAATAATAAGCTTATGATCAATGAGATCAAATGCTTTGCTAAAATCAAGATACACTATACCACTCATCGCACCATTATCGATAGTATCAAGCCAGTTATCTGTCATTCGGATCGGTGCAGTAGCACATGAATGATTTGATCTAAATCCAGATTGGTAAGCATAAAGAACATTGAAGGTTTCCAAATAAGTTTGAATTTGAGTGCTCAAGTGCCTTTCGAATATCTTTGAAATTGTGGGGAGAATTGAGATTGGCCTATAATTGTTCGGATCATCTTTAGCTCCCTTGCGGTCATTTTGGACATCGGACAGAACCCCAACCGAAAATGACGTCACAGAAGTGACATAATCTCAAAATTGTCTTTAGGGACAAATTTTGACACAGAAACAACCCGTCCCCAAATATCGTTTCGATTGTGACACACTAGCTAAAAGTTCACTAAGTTTGTGCTCTGCCTCGCCGACGTTCAACATTTTAAATTTGACAGTCTACTTACGACTTTTGTTGAGTTTGCGGCCACCGCAGCTGTATAGGGAGGACCACTGGGCGTATTTATTTATGCTAATTGAATAACTTAAGAAGACCACACACATAATTTGGCTAAAATTACTCTGAACAGGATTTGGTAGTAAACTTATAAAATAAATCATGAAAACCTGGGAAAATAAAAATGCCAAAAGATTGCTTTTTCCAGAATAATCTGTTGATTTGGAAAATATATGATTCATTCAACAACAAGTATCATATAGCACCAGAAGAAGCATTTTCTTGTGAACATTGTGAGCCACAATGGTTGAATTTATTCATCAAATTGGTAATGATGTTCCAAAATCCCAGGTCTGTCACATGGACTAGTAGGCGTCCGCGGGTTTAGAGTGAAGCATTAAGTAATAAATATATTGACACAGCACGAGAGCCCATCGTCATCTTTATGTTTTCCGGAAATTTAATTGATAGACGTGATTTTAATCCGATTGAATCCAAGTAGGTTGATCATCTAATATTGATATTTTAATTTTGCTTACTTTGCTTACATAGTAGCGTGTAGTAGCGGGTAAAATGGCATCAGAAATTTTCAAACTTACGCGGAATATTTTCGACATATAACCATTTTGATTTCTCTCGTTGTTTTTAAAATTTTGTTTACATGTTTTTGAACCATTTCATCACTGTGTAACTGGTGACCATTTAACTCTAAAACTCTTGAAAACCAAAGAAATATTTTGTTATATAAAAAGATAATTTAAAAAAAATAAAAATCACACCAAAACCATACAACCGTAAATTGTAACGAAATTTTGAGAAATGAAATAAGAAATAACAAAAGTTTTACAAAAGTATAGATTACTTTCGTTGAACTAAATATTTTTTTTTTAAAAAATCGATGGTGTCGAGATATGATGAAGTTTTGAGATTACAAAAACAGAACTTGGATGTATCTGAGTTTAAATGTTCTATTCACATAGAGAATGGAAAAGGCATTTTTACATAAAATTGAATTGTTTCGTAGAAGTATAAAATATAAAAATAGTTACATATCATTTTCTTGCAGTCCGATGGTTGAATCTTGTATTTCTTTAACTTTTGTTATTCCCTCTTTATTCGTTTTTAAATTAAACCCGGCTTGACCTTGGTAGTCGTGACAACAGATCTGTACGCAATGTACGGTTACGGGGGCAACGGGATAAATTATTTTCCATAAAATATATTTACTGAAAAAATAACATTTTCTGTGCGTTAAATTTTGTTTATAGTATTCCAAACATTGATTGTAAACATTGATGACTAACAGTTTAATATCATTAGATAAGGAATTATCTACATTTTCTTTATTGAGCGACCATATAAATGCGACTGTATGAAATAAAATGAAATGTGGTTTAACGGTCTGCTAATTCTGCTCCGACTAGGCTCATGAAAGACGGGCATACGTCACACGGTGTGCTGACAACAGCGCTACGACTTACTCTTATTTCAAACTCCAACTGCCTATGGTTCTTTTACGTGCACGTCAATGTGTACACGAGATCTCGTTTTTTTTTGTCCAAACCGAATATCTTTGTACTGCATTACTGCAAAGGAGACCACGCCGGAAAACCCGATAAACTTTCTAGGCTAATAATGAAATAGAACACGGGACCTCCAGGTTAGGTAGCCAGCTCTTACTCACTGAGCCACCGCGGCGCCCCAACAAGGGGAAGCTTTTGAACATATTTTTCCAGATACAATTAAATGACCTACATGAAAGTTGACCGTTTGTATGTCTTTCAAAATATATTACCACAACTTCCCAAGAGCATGCAACACGTTTTGTTGAATGCTATTTAGGTCGAAAAATTATAACTGGGAGCCGCGGTGGCTTAGTCAGTCAGGCGCATGCTCACTAGCCAGGAGGTTCGATACCGGTGCTGGCCGAGAAAGATCGTCGAACTTTACTGTGTGGGTCCTTATCAGTGGTAATAAACGTGAACCTGGATAGGACGAGGACCCATGAACTTTGACGTGCACGTAAAAGAACCCTTAACAATTCAAATTCCTGCCCGCCTTCATTAGCACCGTCTGCAGTGATGCGAGAACCCAGTCGGATGCAGATGGGTTGGCGCTCTCGACCAGTTTTAACAGGTGGTCGGCAAAGTGTATATCTTGCGCAGAAAAATAGGACGTTAAACCCAAATTAAAAGATTCAGATTAAGCTTACTTTTTGTCAACATGAAATGATGTGACCTTTGGTACTTCTATTCCAGATTCTGACCTTGACCTTTGCTTTACAAGGGGTGCCTTTTTTCTGATTGCTAGGGGAGATGAAAATGAAACAATGGAAGGCGAGCGACTCCTCGAATCACGAGTCCTTGATAACTGGACAGCCGCGATGAACTTTTCTCGTTTTAATTCGTCATCAAGTCTAACAAGAGCATCGTTGCCAGTGTCTTGTGTAAAGTCTAACTCTAATAAATTATATACTTCGGATAATAATTCTTCTCGTTCGTCAACAGATATTCCGTCCTGTTCTGAAAAAAAAAAGAATTTTATGTATAATTGCAAGAAAACTGCTAGTAATACATTCCCGCTTGATCTGTTGAAAATTCTTCAAAAACAAATGACACGATCTGACGTTCGTATTATCGAGTTTTGACTGATACTTACCTAAAAATCCTAGCCCGACCTCTGCCAAACGCTGTCCGTTTATTTCCTTTTCTGAAAGATTCATAACGAGAAGATTTTAGAATTTTAAATATTTCACTTCATAAACATGTTGACATGCGGACAGAGAGCGAATAGCCTTAGATTCTGAGTGGTCGCAAACAATCAGCATTGAACTGTTCCACTGATTAAGAGATGTAATTAATCTAATGATTATTGTTAAAATAGCTTATCTATATATATATTTGTGACTGTCGTTTGTCTGTCTGTCTGTTCGCGGTTGGCGGCTACACTAGGTCTGCCCCGAGTCTGAAATTTGATGTATAGGGTTAGCTCGGACCGGGGAGTAACATAGGCCAGGTGGCGTTAGTCTACCACTTCCGGTTTCGGAGTTATGACCCCCGAGCGAAGCCGGTCTGTTCGGGGTTGGCGGCTACACTAGGTCTGCCCCGAGTCTGAAATTTGGGGTATAGGGGTAGCTCGGACCGGGGAGTAGCATATGCCAGGTGGCGTTAGTCTACCACTTCCGGTTTCGGAGTTATGACTCCCGAGCGAAGTCTGTCTGTTCAGGGTTGGCGGCTACATCTGCCCCGAGTCTGAAATTTGGGGTATAGGGGTAGCTCGGACCGGGGAGTAACATAGGCCAGGTGGCGTTAGTCTACCACTTCCGGTTTCGGAGTTATGACCCCCGAGCGAAGCCGGTATCCTGCTAGTTCCTTATATATAATAGCTCGTATTCTTTAGCATCAAAGCAAAAATACCAACTCAAGAGTACATTTTTGTTTTGACAAATATTTTTAATATTTGGAGATTACAATACATTGAGTTCAATACTTGCGTATCTATATAAGATGAATTGTTTCACCCTAGGTGGAAGTGGACGTAAAACTCTAGAAACGAACGAACGAAATTTTGTACATCTATTCATCAAGTTCACTATCATTCAGTCAAAATTTTTGTTATCTTAATAGAATTCCTTTATAACAAATATTGTGTTTATTTTCAGATTCGGGAATTTGAAAATAGAAGTATTTGTTTATAATTTTTGTAGCCTAAATGGGATGTTTTATGGAAGAATCTATTTCAGCTATAGAGAGGGTATATAAGTAGGGATAATACAACCACCAGACCATATAATCTGTTGTTTTATCTGTAGTCGAAATGGGACGTATGCGAAATGAGAGGGTACCACTCAAGCCCCGCAACCCTCTCCGAGCAGATTTAGTATTAAAAGGTCGCGGGTCAGCAGGAAGTCAATTTTATTTATTAGTTACGATATGATATGTCAATCCCTGCCTTGCAAATGAAAAACTGAAAATCCCCACCGTGAAATTCCCAAGATAGACTATTGCTATACATCGAAAAACCTATTTGGAAATAGTTCATTGCAGTAAGATACAACTTATCATCTTGGCTCGCACATTTAATCAAACGAACACGAAGAGAAATAAATAATGCCGCCATTAGTGATATTCACAGTAATTCAAATACAACTGGCTATGTTGAATATACAAATTGGTGCTATTAACATACAAATTGGCAGAAAAATTGATACATACTTGTAGATAAGTATTACCTTGAAATAAAGGAATAAATTTATACAAATGTTTACTGGCCAACCATTTAATAACTTCATCACCTGACCATTTCATGATCTAAAATAAGAACATAGATCATGACTGTTTTCGTGTTAAAACTAATATCCTCAAAAGTAGCATGACAAAACTTGCCAGATCTTTTATCAGACCCTCTCTGTATTTATATAATATAAATGTCTATATCACAGCATATGAATATCTTATTATCTAAAATAATTTTATCACATGACTTTTTGTTATTTAAAATAATATACCATCTAATGACCATGTTTTTATGTAACAGAAAAGAAGGACGTTAAAGCTTGTTTAGATATTAATAATTCACATAACCATATTTAATGCGTAATAATATGATATCATCATCAGTCTTCGGACAAGCATTTATATCTAATATGGTCACCAGTGATTGGACAAGCATTTATATCTAATATAGTTATTAGAATAATACGGCAGAATTACATCCTAGGAAATGATAAAGTATATATAACCCACCTCTTGTCTAGTATACAGACCTATAGGACTGCTACATACTGATATACTAGGGCTGCCGCCTGAAATAGTATTTGGTCAGCCGGATTATTATATTTTAACATGGATTTTATTGTTTTCATGGTTAGATTAAAGTGGCATTAGGTAATATTAGATAAAGAGCTGATATGAAATGAAATGAAATGGTGTTTAACGTCCTACTGTTCTGCTCCGAACTGGGCTAATGAAGACGGGCATATGCCACACAGTGTGCTATGAGGGAAATTTTGCCCGGACAGCGGCACTACGGCCTACTCTTATATCGAATTCCAACTGTCAAGGGATCTTTTACGTGCACGCAAATGTGTACACGGGACCTCAGTTTTTCGTCCCATCCGAACGACTAGACAGCTTTCCTTGTCAGCCCCTCCGTCCTGCATTACTGACAAGGGAGAACCACGCCGGAAAATCTGGATGAACTTTCTCGGCCAATGCAGGGATCGAACACCCGACCTCCAGGCTAGCGAGCCAGCGTCTTAGCGTCCCAAAGAGCTGATAGTTCTCGCTATGAATCCTATGATAGTTAAAAATACAATCTGATTAAAACACAGGTCCTATTTCGTTTCGTTTTTTATAGTTCAAAATTTCTATGTTCTTGTCTTTACTACAGTAGGATCTGGAAGAGTTGTTATATAGCCCGCGTTCTGGATGATGTGAGGTATTAGCCAATGAAACGGTCTGTTACGGCGAATTTTTGGCGTGAGGGTCACGGAACTGTGGGTGACCTACTAGAAACATCAACGCTGATTGGTTAATCAAATGTCTGACGTCATAGAGTCAAAAGCCCATAGAAAAAGCCGCTCGTATGACCTCTGACGCGACTATCCACTATAGAGAGAGACAGAGAGAGAGATGGGGTTTAACGCCCTATCGACACAAACTAGGTCATTTCGGGACTAACATATGGTTCGATTTTATTTCAAAAATTTGCTTGCGCGTAGGGGTCTTTAGCAGTGGGAAGAAACTAGAGGACCCGGGGAAAACTCACGAGGTTGGACAGGCGACCCTATTCCTTGTCATGTACAACCGGGGAATCGAAACCATGCCAGCTGATTCAATGACAGACTTTATGATACAGCACGCACGTGCTAACCATACGGACATATTTATGTTTTCATTTCTGATTTAAACCGAGGCGTTCGACTGGATACAGAATCAATAATGGCTGCGATCCAGGTATTGGGTCTGACTATATATAGGTAATTTTTTCAACATTAAACGGTAGCAGATTGCATGACTCGTGGCTGTCTAAATTTGTCCGGAAAATTTATATTGCAGAAAAGTAGGACGTTATATCCCATTTATTTCTTTTCAATTCGAATTTAAACGAAATAACTGTCTGTATTTATTACTATTTAAACTAAATAGAAATACCTGCCTAGCTTCAATTTGACAAATCTGAATTTGAACTACATGTGCCTGAAATAGCTGTATTTCATCTAAGTAAAAGCATGTACCTGAATTTGAAGAGATATTAGGTAAACGAATTGATAACTTTAACTTTTCTCTTCGTGTCTGCATCTTCCCTTTTACAGAGTCCATTTTTCAGCAACCAAACAGATTTTCTATAAATTCAAATCACCCAACACTTTCATATGGTAACAATTATCACATAACCAACGTAATCTGAATCAATATAATATTGAACATCACAACTATTGCCTTTTATTTGTATAACATTTAAATATAGAGAGTGGCCATTGCACTGGCATAACCTGCAGTACACAATTAAATAAATTGAGGAAAGATGAGCTTGGTGGATAAATAATTCTTCTGCGATAATTCAGTCAATGACCGTCGAGGGATGTTTACAATACTTATTATTTAAAACCAGATATCATTGTTATTTTAAGTATTTTGGAGGGTTTTCAAAATTACGTTTCTTTTCGTTGTTTTAGTAGTTCCCTGTGCTCAGTCAATTTGTCTCAAGCAAGCAGCACATGTGTTATAACATTGGTTAAAAACAAATTCAGATATAATATTAACAGGGCAATGTTTGATCTCGCTGGTCCGTAACAAAGATTTGAAGGATCCGGAAGTGACGCAAATAAAGCAACGCAGTTACCGTTACCGACTAAAGTAGGATATAGAGCGGTAACAGCCGCACAGTGAATTTTCAGCTCACTGATAAATCTGGAGAAGACAATTTAGAGTAATTATATGATAATATTTGTAACTATTCTTCAAAAGACTTGACTGACACGAGATTAGATAAAGCGAGCAAAATAGTAAAATGTCCGTACATTACTTACTTTTAATTAATCAAATATTAAACGACAGTTGTAGTTGATTCTGGTAGTCCTACAAATCAAATAAAGTCATTTTATTCTTAAAGTATGTAAAAGAATAGTCCTTGTCAATTGTAATTCCAAGAAGGGTTGGCTGAAAAAGAAGCACGTTACACGGTACACCCCATTCCCTTTCTTTAGAAACCAAAAAAATTGGCTGTTGAATATTATTTTATTTGGGCATAAAGACTGTTTCTTTCCATCGGTTGTGTGTGGCAGATATTAAAACTATGTTCAACCTTACCTGATCTCTTTAAATACACATTAAGTCTTATTTCATCGTTTTATCTTTGGGCTACCATACAAAATTGAAAGGGCAGATAAATCAATATATGATATTATATTATATATTTTTATTAAGGTTGGGAAAATAATGTCGAATTTAAGTGACCGGTGTTTTCAGAGGCGAAATACATTGTACTTTGAGAATCCGGTCGGGGCTGGAACAAAAAGCCGCTTTTTCGGTCAGGGACCGGGCCATTTCCAAAATGGCGGACAAAATGGCCGTCAAAATACAATTTTTCCAAGTTTTTTTAATTTATTCTATGATGTTGTCGTGTAATATGTCCATTTATAGGTTTTCTGGGATGCTGAATCCAAAAATGTGGTTTTCTGTTTGTTCTGACATAATTCCGCCATCTTGATTTTCAAAATGGCGGACATAATGGACGCTAAAATGCATTTTTTCAATGTTATTTGGCTTTCTCTAGAATATTATCTCGTAGTATGTCGATCTATAGGCTTTGGGGGTCGATGAATCCGAAATTGTGATTTTCTGTTAGTTCCGACAAAGTTCCGCCATCTTGATTTTCAAAATGGCTGACAAAATGGCCACCGCACTGAACTGCCTATGTTGTGATTGGCGTTTGTCCGGATTAGTATCATGTAATATGTCGAGGTATAGGTTTTGGGGGTCAATGAATCTGAAAATTTGGTTTTCTGGTCGATCCGATCGAATTTTAGCCATATAGAATTTCAAAATGGCGGACAAAATGGCCGCCAAAATGAATCTGTTAATGTCATTTCGCTTTTTTTGAAATAGTTACGTGTAATATGTCGATGAATTTGGGTGGCTCTGAATTGGTGTAAACCGAGAACACTCAAAGAAAATCACAACATAGGCAGTTCAGTGCGGCGGCCATTTTGTCAGCCATTTTGAAAATCAAGATGGCGGAACTTTGTCGGATCGAACAGAAAATCACAATTTCGGATTCATCGACCCCCAAAGCCTATAGATCGACATACTACGAGATAATATTCTAGAGAAAGCTAAACAACATTGAAAAAATGCATTTTAGCGTCCATTTTGTCCGTCATTTTGAAAATCAAGATGGCGGAATTATGTCAGAACAAACAGAAAACCACATTTTCGGATTCAGCATCCCAGAAAATCTATAAATCGACATATTACATTAAAATATTAACGAATAACTCCCAAAAACTTGGAAAAATTGTATTTTGGCGGCCATTTTGTCCACCATTTTGGAAATGGCCCGGTCCCCGACCGAAAAAAAACGTTTTCCTTTTCAGCCCCGACCGAATTATCGAAGAACAATGTTTTTCGCCCCAGAAAACACTGGTCAAATTCTTACTGAATCAAAATGTGTCTGATTGTCACAACCCTATTTTTATACATACAATGCTTGCGATGCCATGAACAGATTTAATCGAGTTTTGTGTATATTATTATATTATATCTATAAATAAAAGACACATGTCAATTCACAGAATAAAACAACATATGTCATATTAATCAATATACTTATATATTATCTTATTGTGGGGTTGATTGAGAGGCTTTATGACGTAGTCTAACTTGTATTATCCATAGACAGAACCCAGTCTGAATTTTAAAAAATGATTGAAATGGGGTTAAACGGGCTACTTTCCTGCACCAACCGAGATAATGAAGACGGGCATACGTCAACGCCGGATTAACCATGGTGGGGCCCCCTGATCACTGACCGGGCCGGCCACCGCGAGCGCCAAAGTAGCGTGATTTCCTGGCATTTCAGGCACTTGTGTGGAGCCATTTAGAAGTACCTACCCCAGAAAAAAATAAAATTCTGCCACAAAATTAGCGCATTCTGGCATTATTTCAGTGGACCAATCAATGCGAGTGCTATGAAATGATGGCATTTCTAGAGGAGGGGGCTGGACGCAACTGAAATTTTTCTGGGGGGTCCTCTAATGTGGGGGGGGGGGGGGCCTGGGGCCTGTGCCCCATGGTTAATCCGGCGTTGGCATACGTTGAAGTTTAGATCGGACAGCAATTAACCCCCGTCCTGCAACACACAGAAGCACGCTAGAAATTTCCGGAAAGCTTTCTCGGCAAACACCAAGAGTTTAGTTTAGATTAGCCCCCACTCGACCTAAACTAGATCATTTAGGGACTAGCATACTGTTCAATTATATCCAATAATGTGCTAGCGTGTAGGGATCTTAAGCAGTGGGTGGAAACCGGGGTAGGGCCTACTCGGAGAAAACTCACGAAGTGGGTTCTATAATTATAAGTATTATGCAAATCGAAGATATAGCATCTGATTGAAACAACTGCGGGGTCGCAAAATTTTGAACTTTACTTTAATATGTAAATATAAACACTGGAAACCTTTCAGTTGTTCTTATTTAGCCCAGGATAGTACAGAAAAGTTAGACGTTAAACCCCATTTCGTTTTATTTCCTCTAGTTTTTAGATTAGCAAGTTTATGCCATAAGTATTAAAATGGCATAACTACAAACTGTATACTTCTCGTTCGTATATAAGGACTTTAGGTTTAACTACTAGAATTTAATTCATTATAGACATAAATATGAATAACACTGATCTGACTATATCTAAAGGAACTGACTATATATACTTACCGATTCGCACACCCGTTTATGGCAGCCATTTGTTCCTTTTCATTAATTACTAACATGTTATATTTAATTGCTTCCTGAACTACTATCTTCATTTCGTGTACTTACAAACATCATCGATTAACTGACACCTGTAAACCATCTTAGCTTCAAAACCAAATTAGTAATTATAACTCAGTTATTCTGAAATTAGTAACTTTAATATATAATATAGGTTACATTTCGTTTAATTTCGACTCATATTATGTAAATGGCACAGTAGCCTACATTAAACGCTGCTTTTCGAAAATGGCTGGCTGACCCCATCATCGACCCCAACATTCCTGTTTAATTATTTCATAATCTGTATGTATTATTACCACTATATAAAACATCTTTTATCGGTTATAATATTCTATACAGGAGATACACAAGCATGCAAGATTTATAACAAAATGAACTGATATTAAAAGTCTGAAGCATACCTTTCACACGTTTAAATTATGATGAATTCTTAATCTCGCTGAGCATCGTGTATTGTGTATTAGGAATAGGTATGTTGACTTTATTCTGTAACATCCAATATCACTTGCAAAATATTGTCTTGTGGTGGGTTGAGGTAGTCGAGAACTTTATTTATTTTGACATTGGTGGCGTGCACAAGGAAGTAAATATGTTTCCTTTATCATTGGGCTCAGTTGTGACAGAGATGTTGTCTTGTGGTAGGGTCCCGAAGCTGAACTTAATTTATTTTGACATTTTGAGACTGGTGTGTATGGCCTATCGTCCTATATTTATTGATTTACGTATTGAGAACGTTGCTATTTGTGGTTATTTTGAAACTGACAAAATATAGAATAGACTAAAGGCATGGGTAATATCGCTAAGACTTCCACCTGCGGCAGCGGTGCTATATCACTTAATTAATTGGAAATGGTAATTTAACATTCTTTATAATTAAACATACATTATGCAAGAACTAAATCTGTCTATTGCAGGTCTTTCTTTAGGCCTGAAATGTTATCTAAATTATTAATTAGACAATAATTAACTTATCCAGACCATAATCGACTCTTTAGTGGATTATAAGCCGATTTACTGCATAACTTTCCTTCACGATTTAACGATTAAATGGATAATCGAGAATATGCTGTTTATCGTACTGACTTTAGTAATGATGATCGAGGCTAGGCGGGAATTTCAATCGCTTAGTTCGCGGTTCATAGTGGATCAATTTAAATGAAATTTTCAGCAAATTGCCTTTACATTATCTAGTTGTTAACTTTTATAGTGGAACTGCCAACACGTTATCGAATCTCCCATTATGTATCTTTAAGTGTCGGAATTGCTTCAAGTTACAATTAAAAAGTCACTTTGTGATTTCTTATGATTAAAGAGAAAATGATATATTTATTGTATAGTTTATCTCATAATTCAAATGCGATGGATTGTCCCCTTTTTCTAAAAATGAATTTGGATAGGGCAGTGATATCGCTACCGATAACATATATTGGAACGAGTGTGTGGTTATAATTTGGTCAATATGTAAAATAATTCTGGTGAGATATCTTTTTTTCATATTATACGCCTATATCGTCAATTGCGCAGCTGTCGGATTTTTTCTCATTGTCAAAAATGGACGAATTTCTATTAACATACATTATAAATACATGTCTGCGTCTACATACAAAATATATTCATTAAATGGAAGAAATTACTTCCACGAATATTGATAGGCAACTGGTTAATTGATATGTCACACCTGTTGTTAACTTTTTATATACAATGATAATATACACATTATTCACAAATAAATATATTCATAAGCTGATAAGTTAAACTGAATTGAAACGGGGTGACTTTTCTGCTTACGTCCTGTGCAATGTGTCTGGACATCGGTTCTATACGGCCATAGCTGAAATGTTAACACTTGAATTTTACTGTAAAGCACAAACATTTTTAAAAATGCATATATTTTTCGGGGACAACATGCACATTTATACATAATCCCATAACATTACACAGAAAACACGTTATACATGTTCATACAAAAAATAGTAGGCCCTATATCTTAAAGCATTTCAGATGACTATTTTCCAGCAAATTTGATTTCGATGTCTTATTAAAAGCCAAACACACACATAATTCTATATACCGCTCTGGTAATCGATTTTCGTAGGGGTAAAAAGAACTAATAAAATTGTAGGACATCTCTGGATTTGCTAATTCTATATAGGCTCTACCGCTCTGGTAATAAATTTTCGTGGGTAAAAAAAATAATAAAATTGTAGGACATCTCTGGATTTGCTAAAAAATGAAATGAAATGGGGTTTAACGTCCTACTGTTCTGTTCCGAACTGGGTTAATGAAGA